AGGAATGAAGTAGTGTTGTGCTGCTGCATCATGGAGACCTGCTGAGTTTAAAGCTGGGTTCCAGCAAGTGAGAAGTTTGGCACTGGCCATCAGGATCCTTTTATTCCTTTCAGCAGTTTCTTAGAGCACAGATAGCATAAGGCACAGGGACAGTGGGTGGTGGGGAAGAGGGCAAACAAAAGCTTTTGGGTAACACACTGGCAGTGACCCCATGAGATCTGAACCCCACTCAGCCTCTCACCCTCTTGCAACCTTGGACAAGCCACTGGAGCTCTCCGGTTCCTCCCGGCACAACTCTCTCTAGTTTACCTCTTCTGCACAGCGCATCTGTACTACAAGGATGAAGGAATCTTTGGATATTTGTGCAGCTTCTAGCACAAAAGGGTCTCCACGTCACGTCAGCTGGGGCCTCTAGATGATGCAGCGCTCATAAATAACGTAAAGCAAGTACTTCCGTGAGTGATGACACAAACTGCCACATTTCCTGGGATTTCATGTCTCAAGGTTGCATTATCTCATGTGTAATAACACGCACATACTCCTAAAGTTCCCCTCCTCTATAGGTTCCCTATGTCTAACAATACAGCTAAGCTCACCAATCTCTCATCTGGAGAAAGGATTCAGCACCTTCCTCCTCTCATGTTAGGGTGGACACAGAGGGACTCACTTTTCAGGGCTATGAATTCATGATTGCTTCTTCAGAGAACCTCAGCAGCACCTACCCAAACACCCTCTATCCCACACTACTCACAAGACAGGAGCAGGCATATGCTCACCAGCCACGGCAGCATTAAGGAAACCTCGTACATCAAATATTCCTACTGGGTTTTAAGGTAAACAATCACCTCAAGATGGAAAGAGAGGAAGCCCATCCTTATGGAGGGTTGTGGGCTGCCTGGAGACTCAGGCAGAAACTTCATCCCCTTCTCATTTTCAGAATATGTACTGCCTTCAAACATAACAGATGGAGACTCAAAAAAGCAATGGCAAAGCACTCACTGTGGAGCACAAAGAGACGGGAAAAACCAAGAACGAGGACAACTAACAGTTTGAGTAGTTTTGTAATATCATTAAACATAGGATCAGACAATCAACAGTGACATACAGGCACTTGAGCTACTGCAACCAGTGAGTTATGGCTGTCAGCCAAGGATAAGTATGACCCTTTAAATAACTGCCTTTGAAACTTCTGTGCAGGCTAGGAGGTGTCCGCCGTGGTGCGGCTCTCGGGGTAACCCAGCAGGCCACAGAGCTGCTTACTGCTGGGAGGCATTACGGAGACACATCTCCAGTTCGACCGTCCCAAAGCCCCACTGAAACAGATGCAAAATGCCTTCCAACTTCAACAGATCTTGGATAAATCCAAAATGAGGAAGGGAACACAGGCTGGAATACAGGGATTTTCCACTCATTGTTTATAAGCATGTCCTGCGCTCTGCAGCTTGGCTGAGCGACCTACCTGCAAGCAGCAGCAGGGAGCCTGCTTCATCTCTTCTCTGAACAGAAACCAGAGGAATGCAAGCAATGGAAAAAATGTCATGTGGACTATCAGCCAGGCTGCAAAACACCAGCCACCACATGAATATCTGGTTTCAGCCCAAATCTCTGCAACCACCATACACAGGAAGCTTTTCAACAGAGCAGGCACCTCTCTAGAGCGCTGTCTGACAGGTCCCTCACATCTCAGTCTCCCAAGAGGTACTGGGAAAGGCCTTTTCCAATAGATATCAAAAAAGTCAGGAGGAGGCAGAAAAGAGCTGGTGGTGTTGACATTTATACCACCTTCCTACAGCACTTGCAAAAATCTCCACTGGATCTCTGAAGCTTGGCTGGGCATGTGAATCCTGCCAGCTACACCGTCCTGTGCTCCCAGACCCAGAGGATGAGCATCCCTCCTGGGTGGCTGCTGTCCCTCCCCGGGGCACCCTGCACCAGCCGCGGGCAGCTCCTGCCCCTGCTCTGGCTGCAGGCAGAGCTGCCCAGCCGGCGGGGTCCGAGCAGAACCACGTCCTGAGGAGATACGGACTATGAGACAGTGAAAGTATCAAATAGGTTGTGCTACAAAACACACACCCTCTGTAACCTAGAAGGAAAACTAAGATTTACTGGAAATCACAGAATCCTTCGGGCCACTAAGTCCTTCTCAGAGGATCAAATAGAAA